GAGGCATCCAGGGAGGTGGGGGGCACTACAGCAGCTCTGTGGCTGTGAATGTGGATTCCAATGGATGCTGTCTGTGTTACCTGATTGTAGACTATATCCAATATCAAGTTATATTTCTGTTATATCCTGGTGCCTAGGGATGCACCGATCCACATTTTTTCACTTCCGATCCGATCCCGATACCTGAATTTGGATATCAGCCGATACCGATACTATTCCGATACCAGAGCTCTGTTTGCTTTAATATTATTATTATCATTATTGTTGATTTTATATGAGGCTGAAATAAACTCCGCTCAACAGGCAAGTATGATATGTACGTATGTATGCATGTATGTCCCAAAAGGCAACTTGAGGTAAGTATAAGGTCAGAAAAAGAAGTCAGAAAAACAGGAAATCCTGTTTACAGGAAAAATCGCATCCTGAAAACAAATATGCAACTGTAAGGGTTTCAAATTGATTGTCATGTCAATATTTATTAAATTCCCAAAAGGTCAAATATTTGAAATATAAGAAAAGTGCAATAAGTGTAAACATCTTACACACACACACACACACACACACACACACACACACACACACACACACACACTAATCCCTTCAGCTTTCACGTTGTCTGCCTGGAGTTTACCTTGTTTTTGGAATGCCTCCAGAAGTGATTTCTGACAGCTCTTTTTGTCTTTGTGCCCCTGCTCTTCTACTTCTTCATATGGATTTCCGGCAGTTTAGACGCTTCTAGGCGTATTACTGCCCTCCTCAGGAAGTCACTCTAAGGATAAAGTTACTGCTTCAAATGTTCATATATAGCCCTGTATCGTGTAAGAACTGTAATACCAAGTGGTGGTTCTCATTTTGACCCAGTAATCCTCGTGCTCTTTCGTGTGGTGCTTTTTTAAATGTTTGATTGCGTTTGTAGTGTTGTTCGACGCGAGGGACCTTCCGCCTCTCTGAATTACGGCTTTGCTAACTGGCTGCAAACTGCGGAATGGATTTCCTGAACGGGGGCGTGTCTAATAACTCTGTCTCATTGAGCCGCCCCTCCGTTCAGGACATCCATTCCGCAGTTTGCAGCCAGCTAGCAGACTGGCCGGCAGGAATCACTTGTGGAGTCATTTCAGCAGACAACGTTAAAGCGCAGACATGGCTCGTGGATATCAGATATCTCCGCAGGTAGGAATGGGAAAATCTGATACGTGAATTACGCTGGTATCGGTCCCGATACCGATACTGCATCAGATCGGCCCCATCCCTACTGGTGCCCTTTATATTTTTTCACCCCCTGCCTCTCTAACATCCCAAGTCTGCCACTGCTGAAATCATTTTGAAAGGGTAAATGGGGTTTTCAACACTGTTGCCTGTAAGTTACTACGTTTAATTTACAACACCATACTGTATTTTAGTTTTACAGTAATATAATTATGATGATACACTGATCAGCCATAACATGACCACCTGGGCATCCTGGTGGTTATATTGTTATGCAGCCCTATTGATACTTTTGATTGGTACTGACCACTGTAGACGGGTAACACCACAGAAGAGCTGCAATTTTGGAGATGCTCTGACCCAGTCGTCTAGCCATCACAATTCAAATCCTCAAACTGCCCATTTTTTCCTGCTTCTAGCACATAACTGTAGAAATTATAGAGTGTATATATACAGTATGTATAAAACGTATACTATATATAACAACATTCACAGTATACAATTATAAAAATAAAACGGAAACAATTGATCGATTTTCTACTTTCAGCTTTGTTATGATCATCTTAGCTGATGGTGCTAATGACTTCTTTGGAAGTTGGTTGTATGCTTCATTATGATAAGGAAGATAAGCTTCACCATTTCCTGCACATCCCACACATGCTGCAAAATGACATCTACAAACAGAAATTAATAGTGCAGTTCTTATTGGTTAGATATTTTAAACAACTGATTTGCTCAGTGTCATCTGCAAAATTTTCTCAAAGTTAAAATTCAAATGTCTAAATTGTCACATTGTATTTTTCTACTACTACCACTTCTTTTTCATTTCTGCCAATAGATCCTCCAGAAATTCTTGTTCTTACTTCTGTTTAGAGCTACTTTTTTCTTTTTTCCTTTTTTGGTCTTAATGTAATGGATACCAAATTTTACCCTCCCCATTTTTCTGCAAGTTGAACTGCCATGTTTCTACAGTAACCCTAGGTAGGGCCTTTGCTTTTTCATGAGTTTCATGGCCATCATAGTTTCTCCTACACAGTTTGAATGGAAGGGTGAAGCGAGTGGTTCATAATCTGCAACTACACCACTAGATGCCACTACATCCTATACACTGGTCCTTTAACTTATTTTACCCTTTGTCAAGAAAGGGGTTTCAAATTTTAGACAACGTAACATGTAAGACTTTAGAGCATACTGGGGATCTAAACATATGTCATCATTTTTAATTCGATATGTTGAGCATGTCAAATACCAACAAACAGGGTTAGGTGAGAAAACAAAACAATGTATGCCAATTGAATTGTAAGTGTATTATAATATCATAACCTATAAACCAGTGTTTCTCTTTTACACAGCATACCACCTTAGAAAATATTAGCATTAAAATACAATTGGCCAACCTTATTCAGCTAAGGACAGGTCACACAGAAGGTAGGTTTAGGTTTCCTGTAAGATTATTTATTGTTGACTGCTGTTAGACTGCTGAATGCAACCGGTTCCAGAACCAGAGCTCGCCAACCCACTTGCTTCACCCTCCACTTTAAGTGTGAAGGAGAAACTACTATGGTCACTAACACCCATTTCTGTTTGTTGCTGTGCACCTGTTTGTCTGTCTGTCTGTCTCTCTCTTTGTCACTCTCTCTCTCTCTGTCTCTCACCCCAACTGGTCGAGGCAGACGACCACCCACCTAGAGCCGAAGGGCCTGTCCTAGGTTTCTGCCTCTTAAAAGGCAGTTTTTCCTTGCCCCCGTCGCCAAGTGCTTGCTCATGGTGGTACTGTTGGGTCTCTGTAAATGTTATAAGGAGTTCGGTCTAGACCTGCTCCATTTGAAAAGTGTCCTGAGATCATTTCTGTTATGAATTGGCGCTATACAAATAAAATTGAATTGAATTGAATTTCTACACTGTGTTCCAAATTATTATGCAAATATGATTTCAATTAAAAAAACATTAGATTTTTTGTTTTTCAATGAAAGTTTTCAATTGTGCTGCTTCCCATGTCTGTTTAGATCACTGACATCAATCTCAGACAGGTTTGTCTTTATTAGTTTGCCAGTTGAGCCTAATTAATGGGAAATTACTTAAGGATGTTGTTCCACATTATTAAGCAAGTCACAGGTTTCATGCAATATAGGGGGAAAAAAGATCGTTCTGCAGATGAAAAGCGTGAAATAGTGCAGTATCTTTCAATAGGTATGAAACCACTGGATATTTTCCGAAATAAAACAAAAGGAGACATGATTGCAGTGGGCTCAGAAATACATGAAGACTAATTGTCTAACAGTTTTATTCACTGATGTATGCCATGCTACACTGGATGGTCCAGATGGATGGAGTTCTGGATGGCCACCATGTCCCAACAAGGCTGTGACCTCAGCAAGGAGGTGGTGGAGGGATGTTTTGGGCTGGAATCATAGGAAGTGAGTTGGTAGGCCCCTTTAAGGTGCCTGAAAGCGTCAAAATGACCTCTGCAAAATATGTGGAGTTCCTAACTGCCCATTTCCTGCCATGGTATAAAAAGAAGAAGCATGCCTTCCGGAGTAAAATCATTTTCATGTAAGACAACACACCATCCCATGTTGCAACAAATACCATTGAGGCCTAGGCTGCTATGGGCATTAAGGGAGAAAGAATCACGATGTGGCCACCATCATCTCCTGACCTCAATCCTACTAAGAACATGTGGAGTATCCTTAAAAGGAAGCTCTATGAGGGTGGGTGGCAGTTTACCTCAAACAGCGGCTCTGGGAGGCAACTCGGGCATCCTCAAAGGAAATACAGGCAGAAACTGTACATGGACTTACAAGTTCAATGGATGAGAGAGTTGTTAATGATACCACATCAAAGAAGGGCTCCTATGTTAATATGTAACTTGATCTTTAAAGATGTTTTTGATTAAATAGCTTTGATTCGAGAAAAATGATCCCCTCTAATGCAAAAAATACAACAGATTTCGGTTTTCAATCTTTTAGAAACTATTAAGTGTTTTGAAACTCTGCTTTGCATAATAATTTGGAACGCTGCATTTTGAGTTATTTTGCAAAAAATGCCATTGTCATCATTGGTAATTGTGTTGTAAAAAATCCAGATTACTATATAATTGTTGAGGAATAAAAAATCCTATTGACTGCCAATTATATCGACTATTTAGTAAGAAAAAGAACAAAAACAGTATATGCATAATAATTTGGAACACAGTGTAGAGCCAGTGTTTGGTTTGTACATTGTGGGCTATAGAAACATGGCAGTTCAACATGGCAGACTGTCGAAGAGGACCCTAAAAACGGTTCATTCTAAGGTAACAGAAACATGATTCTCCTAAATGTAACACAATGGACCTTTAAATAGTGTCTTTTCAATTGAATTTTATTGTGTCCATCATTATTATATTGATAGCATTCTGAAGATTTTATACAAATATGGCAGTCTGGACTGCTCTTCAGTGTTGTAATGCTGTAAGTTATGTACACAGCACAGTGAGCTGATTAAATATGAAAATACTGGTTAACAAATCCACCAGTATCATCACTTCATAAGTCACACTGAGCAACTGAGCTGCACTGCTCAGACTTTCATCTAAAAGCTCAAATCTGTCTCCAGGGAAAAGACTGGCAACAAATGAATTCACAGCAGCCAGACTGGGAGAACTGGGAACAAGGCAGCATGGGGGTAGACAGAGAAAGAGAGAGAGAGAGAGAGAGAGAGAGAGAGAGAGAGAGAGAGAGAGAGAGAGAAGGAGAGATATTGGTGATTACAGAAAGAGAAGGAGAGAGAGGTTGAGAGACACAGAGCCACAACGAGATAGCATCCCTCGAGAGCTCACCTGCCTGGTGACGTCAACAGCAGATAGCATCAGTGTCTTTACAGCTGGAAGAAGAAGAGAGACAGAGGAGAGGGAGGAGGAGGACTGATATTCGGTGCCGAAAGCCTGTCTGGAAGCTTCAGGAAGATGCTCTCTGGAATTTAACAGCAACACTGGGTGAGAAGCTCATCAGTCCACTGACGGAAGGACATTTACATTAAAATGGAGCTCGATTTGTCTGATTTTTGTGTGTGAGATTGACCCTTCTCATAGAATAATAATAATAATAATAATAATAATAATAATAATAAGAGACTGGCTGGTTCTGTTGGTACAGCTGTATGACAATTCTTATATTTATAAAGTTGGATTTGCTATCATTAAGGATTTATGCTATATCCCAGTTTCACACCAGAAATCAGAATGCGCTCTCTGCTCTGTGCTGTTACGATACTTCATGTTTTGCAGGCATGTTATTTTGAGCCTTCTACTAGTAGCTAATAATTGTAATAGCTAATATTAGGGAAGCCCTTTTTTTATCTTTGAAAATACATGGAAATAAACTGAAGATGACTTTACTTTTTTCACCTGTTTTCACACGTGGAAAAACGTAAACTTAAAAAAAAAAAAAATTTTCTCCAGTTTTCACAGAAAAGAAAAATTAAAACATGAACATGTGGGGAAAAAAATGTCACTTGCGTTTCATGAATCCATAGGTTAGTGAATTTTTAGTTGTGGTTGTATGGAAACATGTTCATCTTTTGTCACATTTCTAGTTGGGGATCAATACAGTTTTATCTTTTGTCTACCATCTAAAGTTTATTACAGCCTGTCTAATATAAACTTCGCTTCTCCCCCAACCCTGCCGCAGGAGGACATGTTGACTTTGCCATTTGACAAGCCGCCCTCCAACCAGACCAGCAGTCCCTTCAAGACCAGCTGGGCAACCAACCAATTAGTGAAATCGGTTAAGCCCGAGCCTGGCAGAGCCCTGGAGGAGTCTGAGAGAGAGGATGAAGAGCGGGATGGCGAGGAGGAGGAGGAGGAGGAGGAGGTACAGGAACAATCGGGCGGTCTGACAACAAGGGGTTCTTACAAGAAGAAGCCGAACCATGCCCGGCTGGACCGGGTTCGACTGCGGCGCATCGAGGCCAATGCGCGGGAAAGGAACCGCATGCACGGTCTGAACAACGCGCTGGACAGCCTGAGGAAAGTGGTTCCCTGCTACTCCAAGACGCAGAAGTTGTCCAAAATAGAGACTCTCCGCTTGGCCAAGAACTACATCTGGACCCTCAGTGAGATTCTGAGAACCGGAAAAAGGCCGGACTTACTGACGTTCGTCCAGACTCTGTGCAAAGGTCTCTCCCAGCCCACCACGAACCTGGTGGCCAGCTGTCTACAGCTCAACGGCCGCAGCTTCATGTCGGAACCGGGCGGGGAGTCGTTCTCCCTGTACCCTGCCTATCACCACCACCACGGACCCGAGGTAGTGGGCTCCAGCACGGCGGACAGCGGCAGGCCCCTACGGCCCTTCGGCTCCTTCTCCGGCCCCTACGAGGCTTTGTATGACAGCCCATCTCCAGACTGCTCCAGCTCCTTGGATTCAGGGGCTCTCAGCCCACCTCTCAACTTCAACGGGATTTTCTCCCTGAAACACGAGGAACCGGTGGGCTACCGGAGCTGCCACTATGGCCTCCGCTACTGCTCCATCAGCCAGCGCTCCTCGGCAGACCTGGGCCCGTATGACATCCACCTCCGGGGACAGTTTTACCCGGTGCAGGACAAATTGAACAAGCCTTTCCACAATTAACAAACCATATAGAGAAACGTCGATTCAATAGAAGCCCGATCAGCCATCTGAGGAAAAAATATTTAGAATATTAACGGGTAATCTTAATTGAATGTTAATTGTCTGGGGACCACATGCGTTTTGTCGAAGAATGCTGTGGCCTTAGAAGGACAATGTGGTAACGTTATGGTAGACACACACACACACACACACACACACACGCATGCACACGCACACACATTTTGTGGTTTAGCTTTGGTTGGTCGTTTAGTTAAAGCTGGTATTTTTACTATAACGGAGCACACCGCTATAAAAGAAAACAAAGGCAAAGGGAACTATGCAATACAGACCAGACAGCGTCACATCGGAATTAAAAGACCGCGTTTACACATTATTATTATTATTATTATTATTATTATTATTAGGCTATTATTATTATTATTATTGTTGTTGTTTACGTAATTTGTAACGAATAATCCACGTTTGTTTTCTTTCTTTGGTGTCAGATCATGTGATTTGTTTTGTGTATTGAGTGAAACTTTCTATTGTATGTTTGTACATAATTTGTACACATATGCCTGACTCTATGTAAGCCATTAATCCCACATTGCTTTAGATATTGGTGGTAATAATGTTCATACTCAGGCCTTGAAATGTCCGGGAGATTAAATAGGCCTAAAGCAAAGTAAGTATTCCCTCTGCAGCTAATTGAAGTAAACGGGAACTTATTCTGCAGTCATATTAAATGTACAAACATGTTTTGTGTTCGGGGCGAAGAGAAGAGAAGAAGAATTTGTTGTTTAAATGTGATATCATCTTGATCGTTTTCGCCCTCATGTGTGGAGGTGCTGCCACTCTTTCCCTCTCTCTTTACCGAACTGTCTTGCCTTAATTTCATTTTTAAAAAGGCATCACAAACGCAATACATGTTTGTCAGGCGTTTTATGGGCGCATTGCTTTCAGCTAAGAGGTGAATTTTGGTGGATGGTCTGTTTTGGTGCGCTGCTTCATTCAGCTTTGTCACAACTTTGTTTTATACAACAAATAAAACACAAGTTCAAACAAATCATGAAGGCATACTATATATTCCTTTGTGTTCTCCCTGTTTATTTGGAATTCAGACACATCAACTGGTCTTTGTAAGACTGGTTTTGCTTTCAGGCGTTGGATAACTATATATTATTAAATATAAGATGCTGTAATAATATATTGAAAGATATATAATATCTGTCAGTATATGTCTTTATGTAACAGCAAAGCTGATGCATGTGGTATGTATGTGCACAGGCGATGTCTTCCCGAAGAGAATATGTGTGTCTGTGCCTGAGAGTGAAACATCAGAAAGTGTGTTAGGCTGTAAATGCAGCAAATTAATACCTAATGAAAAATGAAAATGAGACTTTGTTCCTAATAAACATGATTAGGGGCGGGTCTAGAGAAATGGAGAATTAAAGGGGTGGCAGAAATATATGCTAATTTACTCACAGACAATCATGTCAATATCATCAATATTTGCTTGTAAAAGCCCCTAAATTAAGATATCTGAACTCAGAAACATGACATTATTGTGGCACATTAGTAAAGCACTGGATAGAAATATCTAAAGGTGGCATTAGAAATCAATACGTTTTATTTTTATTTAATCTTTACATTGCTTGTCTTTTTTAATTGAAGCCTTTCACTTAGTCTAAAATGTGGCTAAATCATAAAATGATATGTGTTGATTTCCATTTTTTAAATTTAATTATAGATGCATGTATCTAACTAAATCCACTAAATGTGTTAACTTTGAGAGATTTTGATACCAAAATGGGCTTAAATTGTATCTACATTTTAAAATAAGAACAATTAGAACACTCATACAATGATAATCTGTTGTAGATAAATATTTCTTTTTTCCTAAGAAATAAGTTCATATTTAGCTACAGTAGTGGTTTCTTGGGAACAGGGAATGATGCAGTCAGTAGTCCATGATAAGTGTTAAGACAGTAATTATATAAAGAGAACGCTCGCTTCTAATTTCCTGCCTGTCTGTATTAAAAGCATATCTGTACCCAACCGTATATAACAATGGTTGATTATGTGGTGAGAGGGTATGTCAAGCCATCATAGTGCTTTTTCACACCATTCTTTCCCATACTCTCAGTGTGTCAGGGTGACAGCTAGCATGCCACTCTTCACACCTTTAATAATTAACACACCTTACTGATGCCAACATTAGCTGCAAGGTGTCAGCTTCTGAAAAAGCAAATGGAATTAACACATCATAAATAAAACCAGCGCTGTGCCATGTGTGCTTGATCTTTTTTTTTTTCACCCCATAGATTATTTTACACTGCTAGATGTCTGACAGCATCAGTTCTACAGTCTGTGCATTCAAAGAACTACAATAACATAACTCTGGCAATGTTTTCCAGAAACATGTATGTCATGGTCAAAGAGTCATGAGCAGGGTTGCTTTAAAAATGTAATCCAAAGATTTTAAGCATCAAAAATGTGTCCTCTGCTAAGTACATTTTTAAAGAAAAACTGATATATTTTAAAATTGTAATCCTGCTAAATAATCCCCATTTTTTCTGTAACTGTAAAGGATTACAGTTAGTTATTTGTATTATGATTACATAACTCTGTTACATTACTCCCCCAAGCCTGGTGTGGGTCTTGATTGAACCATCATTATTTTCTCAAACTTGACAGAGCTCCTCCAGAGCTACACAAGACACTGTAAAACAGTTCTCACAGCTGAGTACCACTCTTCCTGACCAGAAGATAATCTGTTGCTTTTTCTTGGTCCAGTAATTTCAGTGTAAAATGAGTAACCCCTACTGACTAACCACACACAGAACCACATACAGAAATGGCTGTATCTCAAAAACTAGTATCAAATGCTTGGTGCCTTTGGATTCAACTATAACTACAACTTCAATTTCAACATGTGATCCAGATCCAGCATAAATATTATTTAATATGTAAAATTAATATTATACTTGTTTTGGGGTTTTTTTGAGTTTTCAAAAGAAAACTGATGTAAGTCGATAAATGTCGAATCAAGTTATTTGATTTTTGTCTTGATAGTTTCTACAGCAGATTTGGTGTTTCCACCTATAACACTAAAAATCTAAGAAGCTTGTTAGTCATGAATGGGTTAACTTGTATAAAGCTGCAAAGTCAGGTCAAATTTTATTTATACAGCCCAAAATTACAAATCACAATCTCAGGGGGCGTTACAATCTGTACAACGTACGACTCCCTCTGCCCTTAGAACCTCAATTTGGGTAAGGAAATACTCCCTAAAACAAGGAAGGAACTTCAGGAAGCACTCGACACAATTTCTGATACACAAAGATTAAAATGTATGTGAAGAATGTGGATCAAGGGAGAATAAACAATTTCAGGTGTCTGAAATTGTCCTCCTCTCCACTGTGGAGATTGGATCGAGGACAGGCCACACTGACAGAGAAAGAGAGAGAGCAACTTCAGTTGTCACCAAATAGGTAGAACCTGAGTCACAGGACCTCCTCCCCGCTGGCTTTATACATTTCATGAAGGTCAAGCCAGGCTGAAGCAATTTTAATAAATGCGCGTTCACTGCTTTCCTCACTAGACCACAAGGTCGATCACAGATTTACTGATATAGACCATGAAGTTGATCACACATTTACTGATGCTTAAATGGAGAAGACCAATTAAATCAAAATGTATTATAACTTAATTTGTTCCTTATTTGATTCTAAAACTAAGATGTATCAGTTGTACTTCCTGAACTGTGTTTTATCCCTTCCTGTACATACTGTAGGTGAAAAAAAACAACTTGTTTATGGGAAAAAGCATTCCATTGTCTCTGACTTCACCAGGTCAACAGTGGGAATTTGCAGCCACAATGACAGCAAAGCAGAGGGAAGTGTTAAAAATTGCATTATTATGAGTTAAGTTGTGCTTTTACAAATTATCAATTCAACTAAATGTTCCCTTTCTGCCATGTATAAAGGCATTTTTTGACACACAAAAAAACCTTTATGTAGGTGTGAATATAATGTGCATCTGTGGAGAATGCAGATAAACGCCTGCATATATATATAAAAACACACTGTGTGTTCTCTCCCTCTGTCACCATTTTTAAAATGGCAGATGGTGTGGGACAAGACTTTACTCCATTAGATTCTAAATTATTTGCTTTTGGATAACGAGGGTGCTCTGGAGCCTGGTGGAGGGATTCTAGTTTTAATTAGAGGGTTTAAGATGCTAAGCTCCTTAGAACAGTGGCTCTCAAGAGAGGTGGGTGCAGGTGATGCTCCAACTGAAGTCACAACGTGGTAACAGCCAAGAAGTAATTTGCATTTTAGAATGGAGTTACTTTGGCATTCATCTTGCTCTCCCCTGGCCCCTGAAGAACTCCCCCTATTTCTGTGTTTGGCCCCGTCCCATATTTTGTTTTGGCGGAGGTGTCGGTTGTCGGCTGTCCTGTAAAGGTTTAGCAAAAAACACTGGGAAATGATTAGAGTATGAGTATGACTATGCTGTGTGTGTTTAGAAAAAGAAAATCAAAACAGAGCATTTTCTGTTTCAAGCCTTTATAAGAAGTGAAATATCTCATGGATTCATGAAGTTCAAGTAAAATTACCAACACATTTATACATCAATCAGCTTATCTACACTTTAGTGGCTATGGAGGTGAGGCATGCACAGACAATAAACTGAACCATTACTGAACTGACCCTAACTAAGCCCTGCCCCTTTTTGTTCTGTGCTTTAATAACAGTTGAGGCAGCTGACAATTGACAACTTCGTTCTTCCTGGGGCCAGATGAATAAACGATGTGTGTACACCTTTCCCAGGTGTACACAGTTTTAAAGAGACAACTGTGAAAATGAGGTGGACATGAGATATGTTAAGCGATGGAAGCTCATAGTAAAACATTGTTTGTTAAGGTTGTTTGCGAAGTTGAGTGTTGTACACAGCATTCTGTAAAACGCACATTTATAAACCTATTTGGAATTATTTATGAGTCAATATATATATATAACTATAAATTAATCATTGATCATGCCTTCTAATGTTTAATAATGATGACTGATATGTCACCGCAAGGATGGTTTACAGGTTCATGTGATGAGTGGTACAGGCGTTATAAACAGCCACAGCTATGCATAATGGTCATGTGTATGGACAGCTGTTCTGATACTGTTGGAGAACCTCACTGATTATGAGACAATCAGTCGTACTGTCTCATCTTTGCCTTTCTTTTTATTGACAGATTTAATGAGTAGTTGGACCAGCATAAGTATAAATATGCAAACATATCTTTAAAGGTGTTCCTTTGTCCATTTATGGATGATTGTGGGAGTAGAAATTAAGCTTGTCCTCGCTTCCACAATGACTGAGATTTAGAACAGCAAAATCAGGCGTATGTGTGGCTTTATAAATCATGTTATGTGTGTGTTAGGTGTCTGGCCCCTGTAGGCTTCTAATACTATGTGCTAGGCTCATCAGTGTTGAAAAGAGAACCAAATTCTGAAGATAGGAAAAAAATAAACATGTATAACATTTTATGTTAACTCAATTAATAGCCTGGGTTTTTATTTGCTTGAACAGAACTGAACCTGCCTATATTTGTAACAGGCATCTGTAGGCCTTTGCGCATAAATCTTTGCTCCGCAAAGATGGGAAATACTATTAAATTGTTTATTTAAGTATGAATATTACTTAAATCGAATAACATATCAATTATTAATAATTAATTTTATCATTTGATACTTGGTGCTCATGAGTTCCATACAATGAATGATTGGAGAATCTAAATGATCTAACAATGTGTAGCATGTCCATATTGACGCATATATTTGTGTAGGTGATCTAAACAGCTTTGAACTTGCTTAAGCGGCAACCCGGTGGGCTTTAAGAGGTTTTATACATACAAAGAATATGAATATAAGAACATAGCATAACTAAGTACAGGAGGAGAGAAAGCAGACCGAGGTTCTGACTGAACACTGGGGGGGGCTGTGGCTCAAAGGTAGAGCGGGTTGTCCAATAATCGGAAGGGTATTCGATCCCCGGCTCCTCCCTGCTGCATGTTGAAGTATCCTTGAGCAAGATACTGAACCCCAAATTGCTCCTGATGCTGTGTAATCAGTTTGTGAATATGAATGAATGAGTTTCTGAGTTTCTGTTCGATGGGCTTTGCCATCACTATGAAAGGGCGAATGTGGCATGTTGTGTAAAAGTGCTTTGAGTGTTCGGAAGACTAGAAAGGCACTATACAAGGACAATCCATTTACCATTTACCATTGCTCAACTGTTATTGGAGCACAGAGCAAAAAGGGGTGGGACTAAGGCTCTTAGGCATTTTTAAAACTCTAAATCTTTGCAGTTGTTCCCAAAAAGCTTTAAAGCCACTATGTTCTGTATTTGAAGTTCTCCACCCCCTCAAAGCCCTGACACTCCAAGCTAACCATCAGTCATGGAGCCTTGGAGTTTTGACAGCGTGATGATCTGTTTAGGAAGCTGTTTAGGGCCCCTCAGTATCGGCTCAACCATTCTGTCTGTCCTCCTACTGTGAGACCTCAACCTCACAATGAGAACTCTTTACCTCAACAAAGGACAGCAACATTTTCTATCACGTTTCAGGCTCCATACAAAGGCCTGCACTCCAACAAGTGCACTCGTGCCTCGTGGAATGAGAACAATTGAGCTCATCTATCTAGAAGCCTATTAACTATGAATAATAAATATCAGTTCATACATTTTAAATATGAATGAACTGATCCTATCTGGACAAATTACATGAAGTTTGTCTGTTCTTGACTCAGGCTAATCATGGCCACATTAAGAGCTATTTGGAATGACATGTCATACAATGAGGCCATTTGTATTACCAGCTAATGCTGACATCCACTAACTGCTAATGACCCCATCAAAGTCCCTAAAAATACCATTAGTCTCTTCCTCCCTATTTAACAAAAAAGAAGTATTTAAGTTGAAAGTCAAAGAATTCTGCTTTTAGAAAAATGTCTCTTTACAAAATATTTGGAATATAAGAATGAATTAGGTGTGTGGGATATTATGTATTGGTAACATGCTCACATTTAATATGAAATGCCCACATGAAAAAATAGCAAAGTCAATCTCTCAATGCCTTCTAACTTCCCTACACTGGTGGCTGACAAAAAAAACCCACAGAAATTTACCATTTATTTGGCTCAAACCACTGCAGGATATATGCTTTTCTAAAAACGTTTTTCCAGTAGTAGCAGGGAAAGCTGTTATTGGGCTGTGTCTGTTGTCAATCAACACC